TTTTTTTTTTTTTTTGTAACTCAGGAAACAAAAAATCGTAGTCAATGGAAAATTCACCAACTGCATAGATCTGGAGATCCAAGCTATCTCTCCCAAGAATTTCTGATATTAAGTTTTTACCCTAAAGCGCAAACATCCATAGCTTATTACTACATATTTTTGCACTAATAACTACGCCATCTTTGTTAATTGTTGTAAAATCATTGTTCAAGAGCATAGTTTTCCAGAGAAATAATATCACTGTACAAACTTTTTCAAACTTAATTTTTAGCTGAAATAAAGAAACGACAATTTGAAGTGCACGAATTGTCAATGGACGCATAGGTCAAGCTTATCTGGGCTACGCGTGCGCCTCCAATTTGCAACCGCTGAAAAAAAAAAAAAAAAGAAATGCTTTCTTAAAAAAGTGGGCAAGTTCCGACAAATGACCAAAAATTGCCAAAACTTTCCTCATTTCCTGGTCTTTTCACTTAACACAGTTCGTAAAAAAGCCCCCTATGCGGCTTGGATAAAAAAGGGGGCTTTGCCAGTTTTGCTTCTGTTCAGTTGATTGAGCCGTCAATCCATTCAAGAGATGGAACGTCAGGATCGCTAGCATGCTAGCCATCACAGAAGGTGCAACATTGGTCAAAGCAATACGGGGAAGTTCCCAGTTAAATAGCTGGAAAGCCATACTATGTGAATTACACCTAGCACAGGGTATCATATAACAAAATTTTACGTCTGCTGTTTAATACTCATTGATTTTTTCCAAGTATATCTTAAAAAATTTTTTTTACATCACAGTGAATAACAACAACAGTGTAGGGATAAATACAGTATTTGTAAAATAGCCGCCTTTAGTTTTTTTGCGTTGAAAAAATCCTAAAATTGCTAGCGGAGCTAAAGAAAATGAAGAAAATTTGGTCAAAATACGCAAAATTCTGCTGAAGGGGTACATGAATGAGCAGGATGCACACAGATATCTAAACAGACGTTAAAATGTACTGGAGAGATGGTACTATGCGGTAAAATAAAAAACGAGTTCAGAAGCAAAACTTGGTAGTGAAATTTCGAAAAATTTATATCTGAGGGAAGTGGGAGGGAAAGCAAGAAAGTCGATGTCATTTCGAATAACATTTCAGTACCAAAACTAGTGTAATTTGACTAGCACCACTGCTGTAAAACTTCATGGAAGCGAAGCAGCAGCTAAGCATTTATCTTCTTGTCCAGATATGTGAATACTAACCCGTTTTCCTTTCCAGTGCCGAGATGGATTTGAAATTCTGTTCTCAATAATCCGCATCCGCATTAGTCAATATCTTAAGTTC